TTACCTTATAGAATCCAAAATATAAACCCCAAAATGGAAACTACTATGGAGCCTATGGGTAACTCCATAATCCAGCCCCGCAGCCTTACCGGAGATCCCAGATCCCGACTCGGTAAACTTTGGTGGCGCACCTTGAAGACGGACACGTCGTGGTTGGCTTGGGGCGTTTAGCGTTGAGGGTGTTTGGGTTTTGAGAGCTTTGTGGTTAGGAGTTTAGGGGTTAGGGTTTTTGGAGTTAGGCCTTTTGATTTTGGATTTGTTGATTTAGTGCTTTTAGTGCCTGGGCGGCACGGTTGAGGCTGCCAGCTTCTACGCACATCGCCACAAGACTGATGTATTCCTCAACCCTTCTTAAAAGAACATGCAACGAACAGGCCCTTCTCAAAAGCATGATGGGCTGTATCCTGGGTTCTATGACGGTTTAGGGTCAGGATGAGAACGCTTCTACCAGACTATGAGCAGCCGGTGAAGTTCCCTTGCTACTCAACAACCAACAGTTATCCTGGTCGTCAGTCAGGCCGGAAATCCTGCAAACCCGCCCCCAACCCTATTGCATACCCTTTCATATCTGGAAATCTCTAGACCTTGATCCGAGCCCATCAATAAGGACTACACAAGCCTTTTCTGGGTACCTTGCAGGCTTAACCCCCGAACCCTGGTTCTGACCCGAATCACACTAGACCGGGGTTCCTGGTTGGGGGGACGACAGAGCTAGAGGCTACCCTGGCCTTGGGTGCTCTGGCAGCTTGGCGGAACAGTGAAAAAAACATGGCGGGTTTTAGCTTAGCAGTTTGGCATTCAGGTTTCGGGTTTTTTGGATTCGGACTGGTTTCAGCATTTGCGGCTTGCAGTCGGTACCAGAATGTTTGAACGTCAATGTGCACGTGGTGCTCTATTGGTGTTGCTGACCCAACAATCAAACTGTTCAGCTTACAAACCCTGAACCCGAACAGTTTTCGGCCCAGCTTAGGTATGTTCTGTGCGTGTGCCAGGGAGTGAAGGGAAGGCAGGTTTAATACCGAGGTCTGAATAATTGTTTGCAATAAAATGTTCCCTCACTATTTCGACCATACGGTGAACCCAGAGCCCAATCACCCTAGAACCCGCATAGCAGCCCCTTTAGAGCCCTACTCCAGTCCTCATGAAAGCCCCTCTGTGTGATTTGGGACTTTCCGAAAATTAGGGGTACCTTATTTTGGGGTTCCTATTATAAGGATCCTACTATTTAGGATACCATATTAGGGTCCCCTATTTTCGGAAACCCCCCATTTTAGGAGGCTTTGAAGAACCGGACGGTTGGTCGGTCCAGCCGGCTCGATACTGTTGCACTTGAAAACCCTAACCTGCCAGGTACCTACTATATAGGGTACTAGAGCCCTTAAGGCCCTATATAGTAGGTACCTGGACGGTTAGGGAAAGCTGTCGATATTAAGATCTTGTTAGGAACCTGTATAGTAGAGATAGTAGAGAGCAGCCTTGAGAGTAGTTTCCTGGTGTGAGAACACGGGACTAGCACGAACAGTTGCCAACGTGCTTGCGCACTGTAGGGTTATAAGATGCAAGCAATCTTGCTCTGTGTTGTAGTACTTCCTGTATCACCAGCAAGGGTGGGTAGACCAACGCCCTGCCGCTCTCTGCTCTTGCTACAGCCCTAGACCTCAAGCCCAAGAACCTGACCCCCAACACTATGCCCCCCAGGTTCGAACTCCAAGAGTCCAAGAAAAAGAATCGCAACAATGCAGTGGACTGCACAGCCCTCCAGAGATTCCAAGGATAAGACTCAGTCCTACACCCTAAACCTAAACCCCTAAACCCCAAACCCCTGAAGCTTAAATCCCTAAACCCCTAAAGCCTAACTCCTAAACTCCCAGGACCCTTCTCTCCCTCGCTCGCTCTTGGTTTCTTCGCTCTCTTGCTGCGCTCGGAGTTCCAAGGCTTCTCGAAGACCTGCGGACCGGGCGTGTGCAAGCAGATGTTCCCTGGGTGGCAAGAGAAAGCAAAAAGCAAGAGAGTCTTAGAGGGGTCTTCAAGTTTAGGGTTCGGTTCTTTTTCGGGGGTTCTTTATACCGCTTAGTGCTGGGCTTGTAAGCTTTCATTCATTTTTAAGGTTTTATCAAACAACAAGTTCTATACAAATAAGGATTATCGGGCCTGATAAGAGGTTTATACAGATGGAGAGAGTGAGAGGGAGAGGGGACAACAGGGGTTTGAAGCTTTCCAGGCTTTGCCCCCTGAAGAAGACAGGGCCAGGGAGGGAGTAAGAGAGAGACAGAGAGAGACACAGTCAGGCTGTAGGCTTTGAGCTTCAGCGTTGGGGGGGGGGGTTTTGGATTTATGATTTAGGGTTTAGGATTTAGGGTTATTAGCTTCTCAGATCAATTTTAAGCCTCAGGTGCAACAGCGACAAGAGCAGTGCTAACCCGTTTTGGGAGTTCCAGCAAACCAGGGCCTTAACTGTGGAGTGGTAGCAATAGACTTTCGGGACCTCGGTAAGGAGCTTCTGAATAAGAATCCGCAGTTTCCCTTGATTTCAAAAGTCACCGCTAGTTACTGTAAGCACCGCGACTATGAACATTTTGCATCTAATTTCAATAGCAACGACAGACAGTGCCAGGGTCTCCAAAACTCCTGGAAAGAAAACACTCCAAATCCTAAGCACCAAACTCGAAATCATGAACCGTAATTAAACCTTATAAGGTCTCAACCCCTGACCTTGTAGTGACCCGGAGAGGAAACCTACTGGCAGTTACTTAGCTGTTTAGGGTTTAGGGTTTAGTTGTTTCGGATGGCGATGACAATGAAAGGATTTTGTGGGAAGCGCCGCCGTCAGCTGCTGCAGCCGCAATGCCCAATGGGAGGCACCTGAACAAAGAGTACCATATGAGTGTTAAGGGTGCTCTTAGGGTTCAAGATTTAGGGCATACCGTTTGGGTGTTCCGGATTTATGTTTAAGTTTAGGGTGTGAGGTGCAGGTTTTTGCAAGAGGCAAGCCCCCTAAACCTTAAGCCCTCAACCTTTGACGTCAAGCCCAAAGCGTAAACTCCAAACCCGAATCCTGGGCGCTAGATCCGAAGCCCTCAACCCCCTGCTCCAAGCCCAAGGCATCATAGCTCAACAGGCGGCAAACTGTGCATTGGTCGAGTATAGGAACCTCGTCAACTAGGATTAGTGTAGTGTTTGAGATGTACGTTGCAGGGCTTAGGTTGAAGCTTTAGGGCTTTAGGGTTTATTGTCAAAGGCTAGGGCTTATAAGTTGCAAGGACTCTGTGCCTTTGTAACCCTTGTGCCAACATGTGAAGCTGCACCCTAAAGCCCTAGATTCCCTTAGAGGAGGCCGCCGAAGCAACGTGCCGCGATCCCGCGAACCGCGCAACCCTAAGCCTTAAATCTAGCAGCCCAAAATTTGGGCCCTCTATAATGTAGGGGCCTTGATAATTAGAATCTGATTCTGGGGTTCCTTAGTAAAGTTATAGACCCACCCAAAACCCTATTCTACAAAGGAGCCTGAAGGTACGCCCTAAAGCGCTTAAATTCGTACCATGAACACTAAACCCTTCCACTAAACAATACAGTCCGATGTCAGATGGCTGCGGCGCTTCTCTTCAGCTTGCACATGCAGCAATCGGTTGTGGCCGTCGGCGCAGCCATCGCAGGACGAGAATGAATCAAAAAAGTGGTGTGTGTGTATATATATATACACTTACATATACATATACATA